AAAAAGATTTAAAAAACTTACAATATAAAGTTATGATAGAATCTAAAATATATAGAAGCTCGATTAAAATCCGAGATTAAAGATCACAAATAAATGAATTAAAAGGTAGAAGAAGTTGCAAGAAATTATAGAAAGAAGAAACTTTATAAAGGAATAAACGTGAAAATAAAATGTTTTTTACAAGGTCTTAAACTTTATTCAAATTTATAACGATACGACCAAGGATTAATATTGAGACACATAATAGAAATAAATTGTTTCGTACATATATTTTTTTTTAACATTTTTGATATCAATTAATAAATTGACATTTAAGAACTCAGATCGGAAACATCCTCACTCGTCACAGTCGCGCCTGTTCCTGATGTTGCAGAATCTGATTCTACGTCGGAATCGTCTCTCTTACTTCTAGAACGTCTGCTGTTTTTTCTTCCCTGAAACATAAATATTCATATGTTACCTAAGACTTATTACAGATTATAAAAGTTATAATATAAAATTAGTAAAACTATAATTTTGCATTTTTTAAATATCATAAACATTAAATGTATTGAACTTTTTATGAATTAACTGAATATAACTGAATATATAACTGAATATATAATAATTTAATGACAAAATTTAAGAAAATACAAAAATTATATAGGATTATATTTAATTTTGCTAAAAATATAAGAAATCAATAGAAGCTTATTTAACAAACAAACCTCTCGTTCATTCTTTTGCTGGTCTCTTTGATTTTCGAGTTTCTTTGAAGAGTCACTGCTATTAGTTTTATATTGCTGTGTACTCTTACTATTTTGTTGCGATTGTTGCTGCGCCAACTTAGCCGCTTCTACGTAGGGCATCTTTTCCGTGGGGGACATTTGCCGCCATGTTTGTCCCCCAAGGCGAAACAGATCTCTGCTCTTCATCTTATTATAATTCTGTAATTTGATTGTTATGCTTACATAATGTTTGCATTATCCTCGTCATTTTTGCATTTCGTTACCTGCCTAAAGTCTTGCATAAAATTTAAAAAGGCATTTGCACTTCTCCATTGCCTTCTTTGCAGAGGTTTATTTGATCTTGATCTTGATCTCGTGCGAGATGGCTTTCTGTCATGTTGACTGGAATCTGTTCTGTCCAAACGTATACTTCATACAATTATTAAAAATGGGAAATAATGATAAGAGCAAACGATAAATATTTTCAAAAGTTTGATCGAACCTGATATTTTTTATAATACACATTGTATTGAAACAAAAGTATTAAAGTTATTACGTATTCGTAGTCATGATTCAACTTGAGATCCGATTTGAGATAGGTTTGAATCAGTCTTTCACTTGAAAAACACTTCTCAAATTACGATTTAATCAATCGGATTGGTTCAATTTTTAGTTCAAATCTGGCTCGTCTAAAATAAGGATCGTGGATCGACTACGAATACAGATCTAGTAGTAAAATAATCAGACACTAATATATATATAAAGTAGCAATCTGAACTCTGGAATTATTCTGTCATATAGCTGTCTTATTACATCTTAATTACGGATCAGTTATGTTTACGTAACTCACTCGTCTCGCATGCGTTTGCGACTGGAAGAGGCCGATAGCTGTTGGTATTGGTTATCAGAACCTCTTTCTTGTTGTCCTGCAGCTCCATCCTCTTCCATGCCTCCCGTTACTTCATTAATTTCTTCTCTTCTATTGTCGTCTTCCATGATTTAATGATGATCCCAAAAAGATATATTGCTTTATCAATATTTACGCACCATTCTTATTTATCGATAAAAAGTAATTCAGAAGAATTTGTTTCTGCAATCGAGAAAATAAAACGCGAATTTTTTTACCGTGAAAATAACAAATGTCATTGCTAGGTTGCTATGCAGTTGAAATTGCCGTTTATCGTCAGATTAGATTTTTAAATGTTGCAATTATCTTTTTTAAATATAAATCTTTATGATAGACTCTGTTTTACGTTGATAATCTTTGATACTTTAAACCTGAAATAATTTAACGTCTTCGATAATTTAAACATGAAATAGAATTATGAATTATAATGAATATCTAGAATATCTTCAAAATTCTATTTTTTTTATCATATATATTAACATTTAATTTATAAAAAATCTAATCTTAAAGTCATCTTCAAAATCTATTATTTATTTCATCATATTATTTATGACATTTATTTAATATATATAAACACATTTTTAAATCTCTAAGGATTTAAGATTTACAAGTTTTGAAAAACCTACAGTGTCAGTACAATATTAATAAATATTAATAAAAATTAATAAATAATATGTATTATAATAATATTTATAAAAATTAATTGAAAAACTTTTATCTTTTCTATCAGGCAAGATCTATCAACGCGCTTTTGGTGGTCAATCCCTTAAATTTGGCAAGGGCGGTCAGGCTCATAGATGCTGTTGCGTAGCTGACAGGACCGGCCATTCATTGCTACACACACTTTATGGACAGTCGCTAAGCTACGATTGTAATTACTTCGTCGAGTATTTTGCCCTCGATTTGCTAATGGAAGACGGCGAATGTCGCGGTGTGATCGCGCTCTCCTTGGAAGACGGGACGTTGCATCGTTTCCATGCCAAGAATACAGTGCTCGCTACCGGTGGCTACGGGCGCGCCTACTTTTCCTGCACATCTGCACATACCTGTACTGGAGATGGTACCGCTATGGTCTCTAGAGCTAATCTATCCAATCAGGACCTAGAATTTGTGCAATTTCATCCTACAGGTACATATCTTAATATACACTATTACTCAATTATTCGCACGGATATTTTATATTTTATTGCAATTTTAAAAGCCAAGTAAGTATTTCTCTCTGTCTCTCTCCCCTCCTCTTCCCTCCTTCCCTCCCTCTCTCTCTTTCATACTGTTGACAAATAATATTTTATTAGAATGATTATCTATTAATAATAATATGGAACACTTATTTAGCTTTTAAAAAGTAAAATATGTATAAAATAGCTGTTGTTCGAATAATTATGATAGTATATTTAATATACAGAATAAATATTGCTTCAACATAACAAAAAAATCTTTGGTATATATTCAAATATAATTATTTTTTAATATTTTATGTATGATAAGAAGAATTAATTACATAGTTCTTTAATTTGCATTAACTAAAACATGTTGCACTCATTTCAGGTATCTATGGCGCCGGATGTTTGATTACAGAAGGTAGTCGTGGCGAAGGTGGTTATTTGATAAATAGTGAGGGTGAGAGGTTCATGGAGCGTTATGCGCCGGTAGCGAAAGATCTGGCTTCGCGAGACGTGGTGTCTAGATCTATGACAATGGAGATTAGAGAGGGCAGGTGAGTCACCGGCCAACGAAGATATGTTTTTTGTTGCGTCTTTGGTTATATTCGTGGTAAATATAGTTCTTTATCTCTGCTTAGAGGCGTCGGACCAGAAAAGGATCACATTTACTTGCAGCTACACCATCTGCCACCTGAACAATTGGCCGCACGGCTACCTGGTATTTCGGAGACGGCAATGATATTCGCTGGCGTCGATGTAACCCGGGAATCTATCCCTGTCATTCCCACCGTCCATTACAATATGGGTATGAATATAAATAATTGAAGTATTGAGGCTGTTAATACTTAAGATGCAACCTTCAGAACAAAGAAAATCGTGGTTTACAATTAATACTCTTTTAAAATATTACTGAGAAATGAGAAATATTTGTGTTATGCATATTACATCTGCATAACATTCATTGTATTAATAAAAAAATTAATTTAATTTTCCCTTCGCAATGAAAATGAAACTCCATTAAAAGAACTGTTGTCATGCAACGAGTTTTTTTCGTAATTAAAATTAGGTACGATGATTTTAATTGAAAGTCCTGACATTCTTCACCATGATGATTGAAGTCACAATTAAGTTTCTTTTTAACAAGAAAATATTTTGATAAAATATAAAATAATTTATCAAATGCGACGGAGAGTACTTCTTTAATGAAATTCAATTATTCATTATATAATCTATTTTGTTTTATTTGCAATCATTTTTCTGTGGAAGAGATTGGTCTAGTAATATTATATTGATAATTGCAGGAGGAGTACCGACAAATTACAAAGGTCAAGTGTTGACCAGAGAGAACAATCAAGACAAAATAGTACCTGGCTTATATGCATGTGGTGAAGCAGCTTGCGCGTCCGTTCACGGTGCTAATCGACTGGGTGCTAATTCTCTATTGGATTTAGTCGTATTTGGACGTGCTTGTGCTAAAACTATCGCTCAAGAGAATAAGCCTGGCGAAGCGATCGGACTCCTGAAACCTGTAAGTTTTTATCACTTTAGATAAGCTCTCTATGAGCATTATATATACATATAAACTATATTTTTATTATAAGATAAATGTGTGTTACATCTTGCTTATATGTTTTAGAACGCTGGCGAAGAGACGGTAGCTAATTTAGACTGGGTCAGAAATGCCAATGGTTCCATTTCCACCGCAGAATTAAGGTTAACCATGCAGAAGACTATGCAAATGCACGCGGCAGTTTTCAGAGACGCCGAAAGTTTGCAGGAAGGTAAAAATGAAAAAACTATTGATGTTTCACTCGCATACAATTGCGCGTCGAATTTACGAATATTATGTAATATAGCGTTGGAAATATTATTATGTATTTATTTCACAGGTTGTCGGAAAATGTCCGTTCTCTACAAAAAACTGAATGAGTTAAAAGTCGCGGATAAATCTTTAATATGGAATTCCGATTTGATAGAAACGCTTGAGCTGCAAAATCTCATGATCAATGCAATGCAGACTATCATTGGGGCGGACAACAGAAAGGAGAGTCGTGGTGCGCATGCTCGCGAGGATTACAAACAGAGAATCGATGAATACAATTATAGTAAACCGATCGAAAACCAACAACCAAAACCTTTCAATCAACATTGGAGGAAGCACACGCTGTCAAAGATTAATCCGAAAACAGGAGAGGTATATTTTTCATTTATTATTTACAGATAGAGATGAGATATTGATTATTTTTATTGTCCACGAATAATGTTTTTCTCGTTTTTTAAATTTTTATCTTTGTACTTTTTTACTCAATATTTATATTAATTAATTAGATTTTTATTATTGTTCTCCATTTTAATACTTCCAATCGATAACTTCTGTTTCACAACTTCTAATCCTATTTCATTAATTTAAGGTGTCTCTCGACTATAGACCGGTGATTGATGTTACGCTCAGTCAACAGGAATGTGCGACGGTTCCGCCAGCGATTCGTTCCTACTAGGCTAATTCTACAGACAATATTAAAATCCATCGCCTTAGGACTCTCATCAATCGCCACCGAATTTCGTTCAGCGCAATTTTTTTGTTCTCGATCGTTGCCTAATATTATATTAAGCATTATTAGATCGAGCATAAAGAAATAGTCGCTACGATGAACTCTTTACGCTAGAACTATTGTTGCGCAGGAAACCTACTAATTAATTTATTTCATACATATACATACACATACGAACTTCATTATGCACCAAAGTTGATTCTTGTCACTCGCTTGCGCCGCGAGTCGCGCGAGCAGGATTAATGATCCTCGTAGGATGCCGGTGCTGAGATTATTGTCCTCTCGTTTATAAGAGAGAGTACATACGATCTCGCTCAGCGGAATCACTACTCAGTTCAATAAGTAATAGTCAAAACTAGAACAATTCGCGGTAACGAAAGAAGGTTCGTATATAGAATCTTTTCAAAAAATGTGTTTTCTTTCCTGTAATATAGTACAATGTATCTCCGGTTATGACACGTTCTTAATGCGCTCAAGCCATAGTATAATGTATTCTCGCGTGCAGTGGTAACAAAACATCAAGGAATTTAATTGAAAATGGTTATTTTACTTAGATTACAAATTTATATAGAGTAAGACTTTGGTGCTAACAATATATTAAGTATAAAATTTTTAATAAAGGCTTATTAAGAATTCCATTGGAATTCCGCAGGAATACGTTTCTTGAATTAATTAAATATTAAAAAATCTAAAATAATTGTTAATTAATATTAATTAATATTAATTATTCATTATTTATACACTTTGTAAGTGATTATTAGAAAATCATAAAAAAATCTTTATAATTTTTATCTCTAAATGAAACATTAACATCTCAAGTTATTGCTACACGCGATGGTACTTTAAATATAGCACCGTTAAACTTCGATACGCTTGATTTTTTCGATTGATTTCATGTTTATTATAGCTATTTATACAAATATTTTTGCGATTTTAGACATATATAAGAATTGTTTCAAATATTTATTTTTAAATTTTTTCCATGATATATGCTCTTGCAGAGAATCAATTGACACAGTAAAAATGAGTTAATATTTATGATAATAATAGTGATAATTTATGTTATTGCTCCGTATATTTTTGCTTGAAAAGTGATCAAATAATTGGAATTGGTCTATAGGTGTCATTTACGCCCAAGTACGATTATGAGCATATAATATTTAAAAGTGTCTTTTCTCATATTTTTTATTGCGGCTTGTATACTTAAATATCTTACAAGACAACATAGAAGATATTAATATTATTTTTATAGAATACATACACTGCTGTCGAAAAATTTCCAGACATAACTTAAAATTGCACAATATTCAGGTCATTGTAATTTGGTAAAAAATCATCGCAGACAAAAAAATAAAAAAGCATTTTAAAGCTTGAAACTCATACTTTAGCTTTTGACCGCTTTTTTATTTTTTGTCTGCGATGATTTTTTTATCGAGTTATGGTGATCTGAATATTATACAATTTTAAATTCCATGTCGGGAAACTTTTCGACGGCAGTGTATTTGTGGTTATAGAGCTATAAAAACTATTTATTATTATATATTATTTGCTAACTTAACTTTTGTCAACAAAAATTTATTTTTAAAATTTAAAGAGATAAGATAATCATAATTTTTTTTCAAGTTTGGTAACAAATATTAAATAAACATAAAAAAGAATTAAATTATGAGTTCAAAAATTATGATATCGCGTGATATTTCAATTTTATTAAACTCCTATGTTGTTTTTCAACATCGTACTGATATTATGTACTTCATAAAATGTGAGTTGAGTACTTAAAATATTAAGACACAGCACAGAGATACAAAATACTATTATAGTCTCGATTTGTAAAAAGATCGTGTAAGCGTGTTGCCTGGCATGATGAAAATGTATATATCGTAAAAAAATATCAATAAAGCATTGATATATCTTTTACTCAATAAAAACTAAATCATTTACTAATCAGTAGATTATTTATTCTTCATAAATAGTAATTTAGTATCTGATGAGTAGAGCTATGATGCTGGATTACGAAATAATCTCGTGAGACTGTTTTGAATTAAATAGATTAATTCTGACATGAGAGAAATCCAAGACCAGTATTATATTTTCTTTAATGTAAAAAATTGAAATATAAAATAAAGAGAAAAGACATCAAATATACATATCAATTCACATTTTCCTCTTGGAAAATGATCTTGATTCGATAGAAGGAGGAACAAGACAAAGGAGATAATCACATTAACAAGTCAAGTGGTGGATTTTTTTAAGTATTTATTAAACCCATACTTTTGCAGTATTCGCGCGTCATAAATAAGAAGAGTTCGTAGATTAAATAAAAACTACTACCGAGGATTTTCTCTAAAGCATTAAACTAAAGCTCACCGCGAGCTAATACTCCAGACAATTTTTACACATTACAGTTTAATTTAATAAATGAGGATGTATTTTAAGATGAGCTTGTATACTCGCACTCATAAAATATACTCATATATATATA